AATACAAGTAAGAATGTTACTGTTGTTGTTGGGTGCCATGAAATCAATTCCAACTCACAGTAAATCCTGTGACAGTGCAGAACTGCCCACTGGGTTTTGTAGGCTGTACTCTTCACAGAAGCAAATTACCAGGTCTTTCTTCCACACAGCCATTGGTGGAGTTTTAAATAAGAAAGAACAGAACTATTCCATTAATTTATCATAAAATAAACCAATTCTCAAAATATGAGATTAATTCTTCTCATTATTTGTATTTTCTTTATTTATGTTGACAGACATAAAATTGTACTATTATGCTAGTCAAAGATGAAATAAGTAAAAAGTTGTAATACAAGTCATACCTGCACTCCAAGTACCTTCAATAACTTCCTTGGGGGAATTTCAAGGTGTTCTCACTTTTACTACCCATGCAATCTGCAGCAAGAAACTTATTTTAAAACTTCCCAATTCACTACTTCATGGCCCCTCTGAGAATTAATGGCTCTGCTAAGAATGTACCATGCTGTTACCTACACTTTTACTTCTGTACATAAAATGCCCTCATCCTGAGGAAGTCACAGCCAGCCAACCAGATACCTCTCAGTAACTATCCTCTTCTCCCTCCACTATGGAATTTTCCAGGGTTGGTCTAACAGTCCACCTTCCCTACCCAGCCTGGATCAATTGTTCTCATCCTGCCGTTTCCACAATACAACATACAAAACCAATTTTAAAATAATTCAACTGTTTTCTCACCCTGTCTCCCCTGATCTTTCATGTTACTGTTCTTGTTACGTTGTTTGGTGCCATCAAGTCAATTCTGACTCACAGCAGCCCTATAGGACTGAGCAAAATTGCCCCATAGTGTCTTCTAGGCTTTAATCTTTATGGGAGCAGATCACAGGGTATTTCCTCCCATGGAGCAGCTGATGGGTTCAAACTACTGACCTTTTGTTTAGCTGCCTAGCACTTAACCATTGTGCCACCAGGGCTCATGTTACTATTCTACTTAAAACCCTGTAGTGATTCCCCAAGCACCAGTTGCTACCAGTGGATACTTAAATCAATTTAGTGGGTCACAACCAGCATTCTTGCTTAAAATTAAAATAGGATGGAACAGAATAAAGTGTATCACACAAAGTAAAACTGTTCTGTGAAATTCTCTCATTTATATGTGTTATATATGCACTCATTTATGAGTGTACTAGATAGCTACGCAAAACGTGTATCTTACTAATGGGTCACAGCCAAAAGAAGTTTGAAACACAGGTCTACAGGAACAGTTAAGCATTTGGCTGCTAAGGGAAAGGTCAGCAGATTGAAATCACCAGCAGCACCTGGAGGAAACAACACAGGATAATACAAAGTCTTTTGTTTAGTCTACAGGGCTCTCTAAACTTGGTCCAACTTGACTCTAGTGCTCTCTCCTGCTATGCCCTCAAGCACCCCAACCAAGATAAGCTCCTCATGCCTAATGCTCTTGCAGTTTCTTTTCTCAGTACTTTCAATCATTGCATTCCCTTTGCCTTGAATGCCCTCTCATTTGCCCATGAGGCCCACCCCTTCTCATTTTTCAATATTTAACACCTATCACCTCCTCCACAAAGCTTTTTTTTTTTTTCCCTTCCCTCACAAGCTAATACATACACACACTGTGCCTCCATGGTGCCTTACCCTACAGACCCTCTAACATTTCACTGTACTTTTTTAAAGCTTGACTTTCTTCCTCACTTGGGGACTATAAACTCCTTGAGGGAAAAGAGTACGTTTTTACTAGTCCTGAATCAGCAACAAGAAGCTTAGTGTAATGCACATGACAGAGGCTCAGAAGTTGTTAAAATGAACAAATACAAAATTAATGAGCTGCATCTAACTTCTCTGCCCTTAGGGATGATAGCATCATTTGCCAAAAATGGCAAAGATCATTTTTATGACAAAGCCCATTCATATTTGCAGTGCTGGATCAAGACTTCTGCATTGTTGCTGCAACCCCTAGACAGCAACACCCACAGCCTGAGGCAAAAAGAGGTGTCAGTTTCCTGTCCTACAGCAAAGAAGGGGTTCAGTTTAGATTCCAATGTTGCAGCATCCACCTACATGCCTCCACAAATTATCTGGGGGAAGGGAAGAGGCAAGATTCCACAGGTTTCCACAGGTAGGTCAGATAAATCAGAAACTGCACTAGACGACTTCATTAGCAGGGAGAACCCTCATTATATATCTAACTAGCTTTAATTGGGCAAGGGGTTCACCAGTCCTTTGTTGTTGGCATTAAGTTGTCAATATGATCTAAACAACAATTCAAAAAGTAGCATCATGAAGTAACTGATTGAAGTTATTTGATTTCTGTTGACTAGTTTGATAGCTCTGAGTAGCTACTGACTCACTGCTGTATATTGTGAGATGCTACTTTGGAAGGGGGGCTGTCAATTCAAAGGCAGGGACCTTCTCACTGAGATTTTGAAGATACAGACTTCCTCTTACGTATGTGAATGCCCTAATTTTTAGGTGTCTGATAAAACAACTTTATAAACCGATACTTCAGCTGTCTTCAGTGCAATTAAAAACAGTTCATGCAGCATCCAAGATACTTTGACAGACTCAGCCAACTGTCAGTTTCAGCTGTTCTTTTCAGTTCCACCAGAGTTCACAAAATACTATTACAGGAGCCATATATTTTTGTTCCTATCTAATCACTCATTTTCTTAAAAGTAACCCCTTTTACTTACACTTTGACCTTTATACCCATAATAAGGCAAATTATAATCTAACAATTACTATAATCTAATTTTAGCCAAAAAATGTGTTCATCATATGTGACACTTGTCACCTACAACATTAAATTTCAGATATCTGTCAAAATAAGGTCATTTAGGATTGTCTGGGTGAAACTTTAAAAGCCATTTAAAGCTCTATTTCCTTTTGTTTTAAATAGGTTCCGGCATCTACACTTATTACACTAGGCATAAACATCTACATAGTTTGGAAACTTGCGCAAATGCCTTCTCCTCATGCTCTTTTTGTCTACTGCCACCTACACTTCTCAGCAATTCATATGGTACAAGTCACAATCATGAAAAGGATCATAGCCCCTTATACTGATTTTCAGAAAAATAATGCCACAAACACTCGCTCCCTTTCCTCTAAGTCCACCTTTAACACTTTATTAACAAAAGAGCAAATAAACTCATTTATAAGCAAATTTAATTATGCTGAAGAATCTAAATGTGGGGGGGGTATAGAGGGGGCTTATTTTTATATTTTAAATCTTAGTATCTTTAGTATTTAAGTTCATCCCAAGGTTTCTTTGTAAAATGATGGACATTCACATGGCTTAAGGGTCATGGAAAACTGATTTTCTTCCATGATACTACCACCCCACAATCTAGAGAATGCAGTCTGCAGCCATGAAAAACTGCCACTTAATTATTTTGTCCCAACATGTTTTAACCAGAAGAGCTGCAGATTCTCAAGAGAAGCCATGTTTCAAAGGCTTTAAATAGTAGTATTTTTCAGACTCGCTCATTTAAAATTGGTGGAATTCATCCCAAACATTTTTCAAATACCATTATTTTCCTGCTTGTTATGGTGCTTAAAGAGTGCTTAAAAAAAAAAAACAATGTCTCCATCTGAAAGATCTACTTCAAGAAACCAACTATGATTGTTAAAATAGGAAGGATGAGAAAAGAAAACAATTAATTCATTTTTACAGGTTACAAAAGTCTTTAAAACTCATGTAAGTTCTTCATTTTACAGATAACAGTCCACAGAGGTTAAATAATTCGCTTCAGAGTGCTAACCTACTAATAGCAACACTAGAAATAGAATGAGGCATTTCAATTGCTTTTAGTAGTACCCCAAATCATGAGAGTTATATATACTCTCACCACTGTATTTTAACTTTTAAAAACAATTATCACTGTTTTCCATTAATTCCTAAGGAAGGACTCCGACCCTCTACGTTCTCAAAGTTATTCAAATTCGTAAACTTCAAATATTAACTCCAACAGAAAGGTAATGCCATCCAAGAACTTCCCTGCAAAAGTTTCAAAAAGTGTATACATCCCAAAATAGTCACAAAGAAATTTCAGAGCCCACTCTTTCAAAATCTGCCCGTCAACTACACTTCAAATGTGTTTCAACCAACACAGAGAGAGAAAATTCTGGAAATTCCTCTTTGAGGGAGTGCATCAACAATTTGTCAATAAAACAACTAGGTCATTATTCCATTAAAATATTATGAGTTTCAGCTTAAATTAGGAAGAGTCACTAGCAGATTTATCAAGCTACTGTGTGAAGACAATAATACGTTGGAAAATGCACTCCTGGTTGGATTTGGATCTGAAAGAACAAGTAGATCTGACATTGTTAATACAAACTGAAGACCTGAGCTTAAGAGTAAAAAACAAAAAAGTGAACAAGTTCCTTCAACAAAAAGCTTTTTCCTACTCAAATTCTGATTTCCTACTGAGAGCCTGCACTCTGAGACTGCATCAGTTGACTTTCAGATTTTCATTTAAATCCTCCAATAAACCAGTTTTAGCTCTGGGATATTCAAGGGCAAAACAGAGGGCACTACGAGGGCAACAATCTACACTGGATCATTTTCAAGGACTGTGGTCTAACCACTCATTACTTTACAATACAACTGTTCCCTTTGTGCAACTGATTATTCGCTAAGTACCGAGAACACGCAGTACTTCTTTATAAAGATGCCGGCAACAAAACCTCAGACATGATTTTGATTACAAACTGATGCAGCAGTTTGTTGAGAACGCGTTTCCTTCCTAAATATTACGGATGAAACTATAGCCAGGTTATTAATGTTATATGCGTCGTTCCTTAACTATGACCTCGCACTATCACAGAGAATACAAAAATAAATTAATAGAATACCTGTATTTTTAAAGTGTAACCAGCTAAGCAGGAAGGTGGCCAATTTGTTTGAAAACACAAAACACAGACAATAATAAATATACATAAACAGATTCAAGGTTGTGTAAAGCACAAAAAATCCTTACCCCATTTTGCCCAATGAAAACTTGCTCTGGAGTTTCTGCTCTTTTGCTACGGAATAACTTCCAAAGGAATTTCTCTGTTTGTTATTTCGCAGTTGCTTTTCCACCCCCCGAGGTCCTTTTCTGGAGGTATTTCAGTGATGCTGATAGTTTTCTTAAGTGAAATGCTTCCTCTCTCGTAAATACCAAAACGTTCAAACAAACTGAGGTCGCATTTGCTTATCAGAGTTAAAATGCTGCGCGAAGGAGACAGCGGTCAAGTCTACTCCACAAAATAAGTCTATACGTAGGAAAACGCGGAATCCAGCTTCACCGAGTCCTATAAAAAATGAGTTCGCTGGTCTTTGCGGTCATGTCCTTCTCAACACTCAGGAATGAGCCAGGTAACTCCGCTGTTACGGTGCTACTAAGGCTACGGGTTCAAATTTCTCCACACCAAGTCCCTGGGGGTGGAGCCTGCAACCCAACGCGACGTGCACTTTAAAGATCCCCACGGGGAAATAAAAATTCTAAAAGCAGTAATGCCACTGCTTCCCCAAGCTCACATTAGAAAAAATATGTAGAAAAATCTCCTCGAAGTGCAAACCCGGCAGCTCGCGACGTGCACGCCACTCCACATTGGAATCTGTCTTTTTAATTTTTCCCCTCCTAAGACTCGGAGCACAGAGGAGGTAGGGAGGAGGAAGAGAAGACTGGGCAGGATCGACTCATGCTCCCGAGGAGAATAAACGGAGCCATTTCCAGGCTGGCAGCAGGCTGGGGGCGCACCGCACGCCGGGGAGCAGAGGGAGGGGGCCCCTTCCCACCCCCAATTGCCGAGCACAATGGAGCCTGGCTCGCGCCCGGCCCTTCATTCGCAGCTGTCCTCTCTTCCCCCCTCTTCAGAGCACAGCGGGTCTGAAGCTTCCGTCGGCAGGGAATGAATGAATCAGAAAGCCGAGCTACACGCTTCCAACGGCACCCTGCCCCCAGCTCTGGGGCGGGCCGAGCGGCGGCGGAGGAAGGGGCTGAAGGATCGACGGGCGCTAATGCCGCGTCGAGGGCAGGGGATCGGGGCTCCAAGCCATGGGAGAGCCGCTACTCCAGCGCCCCCACCCCTGTTTCTCGCCTCTCTCGCTCCGCACCGCCGCCACGCGCCGCCTCACATTCCCCGAGCCCTTCCACTGCCACCTCACACCTCCATAACTGCCTCCCTCCGCCAGCTTCCAGCTCCTGCTTGGCAGAGCCGCGCCGGCCCAAGCGCACTGAAGCCCGCTACTACCTCCGCCTAAACCGGCCGGCTCGCAGAGGGCGCCGCTTCCCCTGTCAGTGCCGACAGCGTGAGGCTGGCGCGGCGGCCGAGCGGGCTGCGGGGGGCGGTGAAGGGGGCGGAGAAAACGGGGGAGATGGCAGTCCCTCCCCCTGCTCGCGGGAGGGAGCGGGAAGCGGCCGCGGCTGCAGAGTCGTGGTCCGGCGCTTAGGGTTGGGGCGCTAATCCGTCCCGTGGGCCCTGCTAGGCCCCGAGGGGAACGAGAAGGGACAGCAGCCGCCAAGGGGGTGAGGAGGCTGGTGGTCAGGGGCCGAGCCAGCCCTCGTGGGGAGCTAGTCCGGCCTGGCCTGTCAGTAGGTCCGTCAGTCCGTCCTTCCTTCTTCCCCCCCCCCTTCTCCCCTAGTGGCCGACGGCGAGCAGGCCGTGCGCTCTGCTCCTCCGCTGGCTCCTGGCGCCGCTCCCGGCCGCCACAGCCTCCTCCGCTTCCCACACCAGGTGCTCGCGCTGTGTCTCCATCCTCCCGACAGGAGGACCTTTAAATAGCAACGTCAGCGCGCTCCTCTCCGCAAACACGTCACCCGCCGCTCACGTCACCAGGGTGCGGGGGATGATGTCACGCGGCCGGAAGTATTGCTAAATTAGGATAGTAGCTGGGGAGGTGGACTCCGCGAACTCCTCTGTGCCCACCTGTTCTAGCTTCTCCTTAAAGGCCAAAGCACTGGAGACAGCCCGAGAGGAGCTGCGAGAAGAAAGTGGCAGGAGATTTCCTCTCGACAGATATGCCAAATGAAGTGAATCATTCATACCGGCATTGCCGAGGTGTCAAAGGGTGATATCCCCTCTCCTACTCCCACCCCTGGTGCAACAGCATCCCCCTGCTTCTCACAATCCAAGTAGCTGGGAAATGTGGGAGGGAAAGCCTGCTCACTAAGTGGTAGATACACTTTAAACAAGACTTGAGAAAATTCACCATGATTTTTGAAAGATTTATTAAATGCCAATGTGTAAATGGTAGACTTTAAAACTTTTTTCCGTGTTAGTGGTTAATCATGAAAGAATAAGAAGGATGGGGCCATAAACAAATTTTATAATGCCATAAAAGATAGTAATTAAAGGAGAAAGGCCATCAAGTGGTGTATGTTTTCATTTGCGATATTTTGGCATAGCCTAATGCATCAACCTTAGAAAGTATACGCACGTAATTACTGTTGTATGCTTAGCGAATGCCAGCATACTCTTCCGGCTTCTCAAGCATGCCTGTTCCACTTTGTGGAAATGAAAAATAATACCATCAAATCCTTTTTTTTTTTAATTAACACAAGCAAATTTTGAGTATACTATTATTGACTTCCTTAGTTTTGATCATATATGGTTATAATATTTCCTAAGTATGTATTTTGTTTCTTATATGGCTAAGGTAAGTACCCATATATAGGATTACTAGCTGTGTATTTTTGTCTATAATGTATTACAAATGCTTTTCAAACTGTAAATTACTATAAAATTTATATGGCTTCAACTGATTAGGTAGAATCAAATATATAATTAATTTTTGTTTGATTTGATTTAATTTGATAATCATGTCTTGGAAAAAGAATTGCTACATACTACCAGAGGCTATTACTATTTCAGTGTTAGTCTATAAATTCAGTGGCCATGTATTTCAAGCAAAAATAAGGACACATCACTTGATAATAAACAAAATATTTGAAATCTGAAGTGACCTGGAAAATCCAGAACATAGGGTTATCAATCTATAAAGTAATTGTTAAAAGAGTTAAATATCAATGTAGCTTAAACAAGAGAACCTAAAACTCTTAACAGAAATACTTCAAATAGATGGCTTTAACAAACAAATTTACTTCTCAGTTTATTGTTGTGTTGTTATGTGCGGTTGAGTCAGACCCGACTCATAGTGACCCCTTCTTGGGTTTCTGGGATGGTATCACTACAGAAGTAGATTGCCCAACCTTCCTTCCGGGGAGTGACTGTTGGGTTTGAACTGCCAGCCTTCTGGTTGGCAGGCAAATGCCTTAGGCACTACACCACCGGAGCTCCTGTTTAGGAGGCTAGAAGTCCAAATTTCTAGTGCCAGCTCTCTCTCTCTGTTGGCTCTGGAGTAAGTCCTGGTCTTCAGCTTCTGGTTCCTGGGAGATCTTCATGTGGCTTGGTATTGTTTGTTTAATCTTCTTTATATCTCCAAAGAGATTTACTCAAGACCTACCCTACACCATTCCTGCCTTATTAGCATAACAAAGACAAACTCATTCTCAGATAGGTTTACAACCAAGGCATAGTATTGGTTGTTGGTGTTAGGTGCCTATCAAGTTAGTTCAGGCTCATAAGGACCCTGTGTACAACTGGACAAAATATTGTCCAATCCTGCACCATCATCACAATCATTGCTATGTTTGAGCCCACTGTTGCAGCCACTGTCAATCCATCTCGCTGAGGGTCTGCCTGTTTTTTGCTGACCCTCTACTTTACCAAGCATGATATCCTTCTCCAGGGACTGGTCCCTCCTGACAACATGACCAAAATACAGGAGATAAAGTCTTGCCATACTCACTTCTAAGGAGTATTTGGCTGTATTTTATCTAAAACAGATTTTTTGTTTTTCTGGAATCTATTGTATAGTGAATATTCTTCAACAACACTGTAATTAAATGCATCAGTTCTTCTTTGATCTTCCTTATCTACTGTCCAGCTTTCGTATGCATATGAGGCGATTGAAAATATCATGGCTTCGGAGGTTCATCTTAGTCCTCAAAGTGACATCTTTGCTCTTTAAAACTTAAAAATTACAGGTTAGAATTTACAAAGCGTGTTTTGGGGGGACACATTTCAATCTGTAACATTCCACCCTTTGGCCCCAAACAATCCATGCCCTTGCCACGTGCAAAACGCATTTACACCATCACATCATCCCCAAAGTCTTAAATCAACTCAAAATCCAAACTCTCATCTTCAGAACATCTAAATCACATATGGGTGAGACTTAAGGCGTATTCCATTCTGGGGCAAAATTCCTTTTATCTGTAAACCTGGGAATAAAAGTTGTCTGTTTCCAAAGTGCAGTGGTACAACAGGCATAAGGTAAGCATTTCCATTACAAATGGGAGAAATTGGAGGGAAAGAAGGGATAACAGGCACCAAGCAAGTCCAAAACCCAGCAGAACAAGCTACATTAGCTCTCAAGGTGTGGTGTAGTAAATTACTTAGTGTGGCTTTTCTACCCATAAGTCTTTGTAAACTCCAAGGTGGGATTTGCTGTGAGCAACTGAGGAGCTCCTGATTGCTGAAGTTGTCCACCTGGAGTATTTCTGTTGGGTGTGACACAAAACAATGTTCTGGGAGGTGCCCACTCTCTCTCAGGTGCTTAGAGTTCTGATGCTATGATTGGCTAGTTTGACCACCCTGCCGGGTTCAAAAGGAGGCCTCCTAGAGGCAGAACTCTCTCTGACTGCTGGTTGAGGAAGACGTGCTGCTGAAAGAGGCAAGGGCTCCTGAGACACGTGTTGCCGGGAAAGAGATGCAAGAGACATGCATCGCTGAGTGAGACACCGAGGGACCAGTACTGCTGGGAAAGAGACTGTGAGAGACTGTTGGCCGAGGGACAGTGGGCTAGGAGAGAGACTGAGCATTTTTCTTGAACTCGAATTGTAGCCTGGTGCTTCCCTAATAAACCTCATAATCTGTGAGTTCTGCGTGGCCACTGCAGCGAATTAGCGAACCCAGGAGAGAGGTGGTGGGTGCTTTGGGAGGAACGGTTGGTGAAAGGGCTGAAGGGAGGCAACATGTCTGGCTTTGCAGTAATAGGCCTTGGGTTACTGCTGGTAATCCTGTCTTCCTCTTGTAGGGTTAGAGGAGGTCAGAAGATGTGGCCTCCTTGCCGTTTTTGCACAAGGCTAGAAAATAATCCTTCGTTCCTTGAGACCATCTGGACTGTGTCCCCACCCTCCAGACTCTGGGTGTTGGCCACACCCTCTGGATTCTAGGTGAAGGCCCCTGGACCCTGGGCTTCAGCTCTGCCTTCCATGCCCTCTGAAATGGCAACTCTGCACCTTTGGCTTTAGGTGGCCCCAATATCCTAGTCTGAATGGCAACCCTACCCCTTCTGCCCTGACAGCCCCATTTTTCTGCCCCTTAAGCGTGATAGCACCCCACCCCCCAACTTTGGGTGGTGGCCCCACCCTTCTGGCACACTTTAATGCAGCACCACATTCTGGAACAGAGAAGGTGATGATCTGACTCTTTGAAACCTAGGAGGCTGTCGTCCCACCCTTTGAGATCCAGGAAACTGTGGCCCTGCCTTTTGAAACAGAAGACCCTGCTTCCCTTGCTCCTTCCAACAGTTCTTCTGATCTCCAAACTATTCCTTTTCTTTTTTGGAGCTCCTTTGGCCTCTTTCCTGCCTATAGAATTCCAAGAGGCAAACAGCTTCTTTCCTCTCTGTCCTCTTCCATCTAAGCTGATGGTTTTTCTGCTGTGGTAGTTAGATCCATCAGTCACAGGCTTAATCACTTCTGTAAGAGATTGTGTAGCTACATCCTTGGTGAAAATTCTAGGACACATGTCCTTAGTTTGTGCAATAGAATTTTACAACCCTTGAAGTTTTGTTTTCATTTTGCACAATTCATTTTTAAGTCTATCTCTTTCCTCTTGCATTTTATTACAAATGGCAAAAGAAAAATCACATGATCCCTTGAAAGTCTTGCTTAGAAACCTCATCAGCCAGATATCCAAGTTCATCACTTACAAGTTCTACCTTCTACC